TAAATGTCACTTTTAAAAGTCAAAACTCATATAACACATTATAATGATAATTAAACCCAAGAGCAAAAACAACAACAATAATAATAATAACAATATTTCATATAAGGATAAATCATGCCAACATATGAGATTTCATGGGAAAAAAAGGGGGTAAAATGCAAGTTTTTAAAATATACTTTCAAAACTGATGAAAAGCACCCAGTTTTCACTTTTTACCGAGAATATTATTTACCACATCATATATATATAACCTCACATGCATAGCTCAACACACCATGGAAATCAATTTTCTCAAAGACAGTCCAATTGGAAGCATGCAAGTGTATTCAACCAACCAACTTTTAGTCTAAATACATAACTCAAGCACCTCTCAAAATGCAGTCCAGCCGAGTGCATGCAGCCAAAAATATGCAGCCACCATCACAATTTATTGAAACAACCAAATGCATGCAAGTTCAATTAGCAAGCAAGTTCATTTCATTTTAAAAACTCAAAACAGCCACTCTAGAATCTGTCCGAAAATATGCAAGGAAAAATAAACCAAGCAAGCTTCACATTTAGCTCAAACCTCATCAAAATACAAAAATGCCATACTAGAAATTAACATGCAAGCATAGATATGAAATTTTAAGGAAAGTTTTCATTAAAACCACGCACCCTTCTAATCCTATAATTGGCTGCCTATTACAGTGCTTGGATTTCGATCTCCACCATTTAGAATGTAGAGTTGTGTTTCATGAACAACATATCCAAAAATCAGAACGATCGGACGACAGACGAGCTCCAGATCACGATTTGATGATGCACTGTTCACAGACTCAAAAACTAATATATCTTCTTCCTTTCTCTTTGTTCTTCCTTTTTCTTCTCTTCCTCTCTCACTCTAACTCTCGGCCGAACCCACTCTTTCTTCTCTTCTTTTTTTTTTTTTCCCCTTTCATTTCTTTCCTCTCTTCTTTCTTTTTTCTGCTCTCGTTTTCCTCTTCTTCATTTGGGCGAACTGCCCAGTTTTCTTCTTCTTTTAAACAAAACATTTTTATGAAATTATAATATGCCCCCCAAAATTTCTAAATGTCATCTAACCCCACCACATAAGCTTTTCCTAGCAAAAATGTTCAAATTTTTCCCTCTTGATACATGCAAACCCATCAGGAATTATTTCTTCGTTTTCACCCCTTAAAACAACTTTAAAAGCTGATAGAAATACCCCTATCTTACCACAATACCAAAAATCAAATAATAAAGGAAAAAAGTATTAATTAACTAAATACAATTCATGATCTAACTAAATCAGGAATGGGGTTTTACATAACATCTTTCAATGTAGCTACTGATTCTTCAATTAATATAATTTTTCATTCCAAAGATATTACTTTATGGCACAGGAGATTAGGCCATGCTCCATTACTTGTTTTGCAGAAATTACATCATGCATTTAGCAATACACATAAATTTCATTGTAATGCCTGTCCTCTAGCAAAGCAAACTAGGCTACCATTTCCTTTAAGTGACACATCTACATCCCATGTTTTTGAACTATTACACTTAGATGTTTGGGGCCCTTACAAAATTGCAACTCAAGAAAATGCTAGGTTTTTCCTTACCTTGGAAGATGACTTCACTAGAACAACTTGGCTTTTTCTTATACAATTCAAATATGATGTTTTCCAAACTCTGAAATCTTTTTTGCATATGGCTAAAAATCAATATGACCAAACACCTAAGTACATTAGGACTGACAATGGGTTGGAATTTTTCAATCACCAATGTCATGATATGTTGTCTGACTTAGGGATTATACATCAAAGTATTTGTGTCTACACTCCACAGCAAAATGAAGTGGTAGAACGCAAGCATAGGCATATTCTTAACATAGCTAGGGCTTTTAAATTTCAATCCCATATTCCTGATTATTTGAGGGGATATGCAGTTAAGGCACCTGTATATATTATCAATAGATTGCCCACTAGAGTCCTAAATGGTCTATCACCTTTTGAAAAATTTTATGGTCATAAGCCCAAATTAGATCACCTGAAAGTGTTTGGCTGCTTGGCATATGCTGTAAATCTTCCTATGCAGGACAAGTTTGCTCCAAGATCTATTCCTTGTGTGTTTCTTGGTTACTCACCCACCAAGAAAGGTTACATTCTATATGACCTTCACTAAAAAACCATATGTGTTAATAGGGATGTTCAATTTTATGAATCTGCTTTTCCTTTTCTCCTACATTAGTCCAATAAACCACATTTTCCTATTGATACTTTCATGGAAGAAGATCTTTCAGCCTCATATGATTTCATCCCACATTCGGATTATTCTGTTATTGATCTTCAAGAGACATAACCAACTTTCCCTAGTTCTTCCACTCTTTCTTCACCAAATGCTGTCTCAATTCCAACACCTCACAATCCTACTAGGAAATCCAATAGAGCAACTAAACCTCCCATTTGGACTACTAACTTTGTATGTCCTACTTTACCCAAATCAAATCAAACATCTACTGTCAAATATCCCATCCACCACTACATTACACATTCCAAACTGTCCCCCACCTATAAAAACTGTTTATCCAGCATTTCTCACCTTACTGAACCTACCACATTTGCCCAAGCTTCCAAAGATTCTAAGTGGGTGGTAGCTATGCAACAAGAAATTCAGGCTTTGGAGAGAAATGGGACATGGTCTCTGGTTGTTCTACCTCCTGGTAAGGTTCCCATAGGATGTAAATGGGTTTATAAGTTGAACTATAATGCTGATTGGACTTTGGAAAGGCACAAGGCCAGATTAGTGGCCAAAAGATTTACACAGCAGGCTGGCATTGATTATGAGAAGACTTTTTCTCCTGTAGTAAAAATGGTCACAGTCAGGTTGGTTTTGGCAATTGCATCTATGAAAGGATGGTCACTTTTTCATTTGGATATTGATAATGCCTTCTTGCAAGGTGATCTGCAGGAGGACATCTATATGCATTTACCACAAGGCTTTTCCAATCAGCATGACCAGTCTTTCGTGTGCAAATTGCACAAGTCCTTGTATGGCTTAAAGCAGGCCTGCAGGGCTTGGAACACTAAACTAACCACTGCTTTATTGACAGGGGGTTTTGATCAACAGTCTCTATTAGATCACTCTTTTCTTTTTAGAAAACAAAATGGATAGATTGTCATTTTGCTTGTCTATGTTGATGATTTGGTCATCACTGGCAGCAGCAGCTCCATGATCTAGGCTACTAAGTATTGAGTAAAGTGAAGGTGCAGAAAAGACTTTCTAAGTTTTCCTATTAAATCTATAGTTTACAGTTTATGTTGTTGTATGAAAGTGTAATAATTACAAACTTACTACTGGGGATTTGTTTGTAATGTTTACAAACAATTGTAAAAGTTTGTAATATGCATAAAACGCTGCGCATTGTAAATAGGCTGTATAAATCAGTCACCTGCTCTGTTATTCGGCAGTTAGAGAAATTGAAACTGAAATTCCAGAACTCTTCCTCTCTTCTCTCTATTTTTCGTTTCTTGATTTTCTTTAATTTTTCTTTTCTTTGTGTGAAATTCTTCACTAAGGATCTTTTACATTCTCATTTCAGACTCAAGGACTTGGGAATCCTAAGATATATCTTGGGATTTGAAGTTGCCCGATCTTCCAAAGGCATTACCTTATGTCAAAGGAAATAGGCCTTAGAATTAATTGCAGAATCTAGTTTGGGTGCTGCTAAGCCAGCTTCAGTGCCACTTGATCCTCAACTGAAACTTACTACTTCGGAGTATGATTATGCCTTCCCTGGTCAGCAAGCAGATCCATTATTGGCTGATCCTTATGTATATCAAAAGTTAGTAGGTAAACTGCTGTATTTGTTCCTTACTAGACCAGATATTACTTTTACAGTTAATTTGCTTAGTTAGTTTATGCACAAGCCTAAACAATCACACCTGCAATCTGCTCTGAAAGCGTTGTTAGATATGTCAAAGGTTCTCCTAGTTTAGGTTTGTTCTTTCTAGCTCATGGCTCCATGCAAATTCAAGCTTTTTGTGACTCTGATTGGGCTTCCTGCCTTATGACTCGCAGATCCGTGACAGGTTTCTGCATTTTTCTTGGAAATTCCTTGTTGTCCTGGAAGTCTAAGAGGCAGATTACAGTTTCAAAATCCTCCTCAGAAGCTAAACATAGGGCTATGGCATCTACTGTTTGTGAGATCATTTGGCTCACTCAACTTTTACATGATCTTGGTTTTTCACCACTACTGCCCATTCCACTTGGATGTTACAATCAATCGACTATCCACATTGCTTTTAACCCTATGTTCCATGAATGTACCAAGCATATTGACATAGATTGCCACATTTTTCGAGCCAAGATTAAAGAAGGGTTAGTGCATCCTGTCTATGTTCCCACTCATGAGCAGAGTGCAGACTTATTTACCAAAGCAGTTCCTAATTCTCTGCATTGTCATTTGCTATCCAAGTTGGGGGTGCTTGACATTCATCACCCACCAACTTGAGGGGGGATCTTGGATTATTGCTGTTATTGTTGTAAATAGTTAGTTAGTCAGTTGGATGATTAGTTACTATTTAGATTAATTAACTGCAGTAAGATTAACCATGGTTGTTGATATAACTGTGGTTACTAATTCTTGTATATAAGTGTACTGTTGAGCTTTAAGAAACATGAATAAAACTTTCAACTTTACTCTCTCAGTAAGCTGAATTCGCACAGAATCTAATACTGTTAGTGGTAAAGTATTTCTAATGTTATGTTTTTTTATTTTGTGGTAATAAGGCAAATCAATGTTGAACAACTGATTTAAAACCGAATTCTGGTATAACTCGTCTCCCGGCTAAATTTTACATAACCAAAATATATTAAGAAAAATATGTTACATAATGAGTTTAAGAATACTTCGAATGTATTATTACTGAGTGTTAGTTGATGTTAAATATGTCTTTCTTGGCATTCGGTTCTTAACTCAGGACACTGTTTATGTTGACTATTTATTTCTTTTGCAGTTTAACAAGATTTCAGGAACTCTGCTCTGAGTAAGGTAACCATGACATTTCTCTGAGTATGACCTATTTAGGTACTCCAGCTCCAACATTGAGCTCCATCAGTTTCTTAAAGATTAAGAAGAAACAATAAAAATGGTATCTTGCCACCATAATTCAGAGACATCATTTTAATTGGTCAAACATGATGGAAATGTTTATCTAGGAAATTAGGACATACATCTGGAAGATCGCTCAAGGTCATTTAACTTGGCAACATTGCTGCTATATTTCACTGTTATTGATCACAGAATCTGAAACAGTGGATAGAGGTAAGTAATATACATCCTTTGTGATCTGCATATTATGGAGATTGTTCTTTCATCCTGGTAAAGACATGCATGAAGAGATCATTGAGCCCTTTATATTTTTCTTAGCTTCAATATGTGTCTGAAATTGGTTATATTGCTCTTCTTGTGCAGCATAGCCATAAAGGTGGTTAAAAAGTCGACGCATTCAGGAAGAATCCTTCTGAGGATTGCATGCACCTTATTTTGGGTGTAGGAGTATTCTTTCTGTTGTCGATAACAATATACAGACTTTGATAGGGAGCAACTCAACCGGGAAAAAGAGGCTTATTAATTGACGTTAAACTTTGTGGGGCCAGTTGAGGTTTTCCAGAAGTATAAGAGTAAACCAGATGTAAAAAATAGAAAGAGTAGGAGAAGATGCAGAAAAGGGAGAAGCATTTTGTGCTAGTTCATGGAGCTTGTCATGGTGCATGGTGCTGGTACAAGGTGTCAACTCTGCTGAAATCAGCAGGTCATAAAGTTACAATGCTGGACATGGCTGCGTCTGGCAAACACCCAAAGCAGGTTCATGAGCTTCGATCACTTTTGGATTACTTGGAGCCACTGGTTGAATTCATGGCTTCTCTCCCACCAGAAGAGAGGGTAATTCTGGTGGGTCACAGCATAGGTGGTCTTAGCATATCTGATGCCATGGAAAGGTTCCCTGAGAAAGTATCTGTTGCAGTTTTCTGTGCTGCTTTTATGCCCAACCCTGATCTCAGTTTAACAACTTTAGTTGAAGAGGTACAAGATCTCTCTCTCTCTCTCTCTCTGAAAAGCTCACACGCACACACTAGACCTTGTAACTTGGAATTACTCGAGTGGAGCATGCTTTGCTCCAGCTTGTCAGGATCCATGAACTGTGGCATCTTTATATAAACATAGTATCGTTGTGTATTTAAGTTTTTCTAATTCAATCTTTTGTTTGTCTCTAGTTTTAAACTTTTGTTAGATTTCATAATTAGTTGTTATGACATTTCATATTATATTTGTGAGGGTGGCATTACAAAAAACTATTAGTTCCAGGTCAGGGATAGAATGTTTTTGACATGGGGAAGTTTATCTTTAAGATAAGAACTGAGGCAAAAAGTGAGCCCCGTGAATTCTAACGAGCATCCAATGAAATGCGAACAAGTTGTCTAACTACTCACCTTACTTTCTGGCATGGACTCTGTTAGTGCAGACTGTAGAGGCTGATTTAATGGTGTTGAATTCATGAATTGTATTGTCTGTATGTCGGGTTCTTGACTAAAGACAAAAGACGAGCTGTGGTGTATAAATGCCGATGATGTCCATGACACCCAAGTTCATTTAACTTATGTGACTTTTTTGTTTTTTCAATGCTTTAGGTAGAATCGTTCTCAAAGCAGAAACAAACAAAGATAAAAATTTCTCACTAATTGGTTTAATTCGGTGTCCTTTATAATCTCTGATGCTTTCATGTAATCTTTAGTGTAATTTTTAGGTAAGCTTTTGGATGCTTTTACATGGACGTTTTATGCTATAAGATTCGGGGCATAGTGAATAATATTAAAAATACATTGTGACAGACTGTTATAGTGTTGTTCAACTTATAAGAGGGGCCTAAAATGCAGTTCCATTCCTTTTCCGGGTATCCTATAAAAAATCAATTATCCCCTATTAGTTTAAAAAATGACAAAAATACTTTAAAAATTTACAAATACACCCCTAACAAATTTTGATTATTCATTCATTTGTGTCCAATGTAACTCATAACCTGTAATCTCTAGACAACACTTAAATTCAATCAATTCATCACAATTCACATCAAATAACTTTACCAAAATAATTCAAACAAACAACAATATAGAAAGTTAGAAACTGTCACCAACAATTATAGTATGATCACTTAATTAGTTATAATGTTATAATTAATTAAGTGATCATACTATAATGTAATGTTATAAATACTTATAATTATTTAAGTAGTTATTTAACAATAATGTAATGTTATAAATACTTATAATTATTTAAGTAGTTATTTAACAATAATGTAATGTTATAATCAATTAAATTTCTAATAATTTAATTAATTACTTATGTTTAATGTTTATAATATAATGTCATAATTAATTAAGTAATCATTTAATATTGTGTAATGTTATAATTAATTAAGTGATCATACTACAATGCAAATTGTAATGTTATAATTAATTATAATATACTTTTAAATTATAATGTAATTTATAATTAATTAAATTGTTAATTATTTAATTAAGTATTGTAATATTGTTTATAGAAGTTATAATTAATAAGTAATCATACTATAAATTTATAATGTAATGGTTATAATAATAAAATTCTATAATTCAATTAAGTATTGTGTAAATTAGTAAATACTAATGTTTATAATATAATGTCATAACAATTAAGTAATCATTAGTATTTAATTATGCAATGTTATTTAATTATATGATCATACTATAAAGATAATATAATGTAAGATGTTAATGAATTAAATAATCATACTATAAATCTATAATTTAAATTAATTAATAAATTTCTATTTAATAATATACTAATGTTATAATGGAATGTTATAATTGATTAAGTAATCATATTATAATATATAAAGGTAATGTTATATTAATTAATTTAATCGTTTAATAAGTAATGTAATAAATAATAAATTACTAATGTTTATAATGTAATGTTATAAATTCATAATAATTATGTAATAATTAATATGTAATGCTATAGTGTAAGTAAGTGGTCATAAATAATGTAATATAATAATGGTATAATTAATAGTAATTATTACATAGTAATACTTAATTAATGTTTATAATGGAATGTTTAAAGGTAATGTTATAATTAATTAAATTCTAATCATTTAATTAAGATTTGTGCTAATGTTTATATAGTAAATTATTAATATATTAATGTTTATAATATAAATATCTAATCATAATCAATTAAATAATATTAATTAGTTACTGTTATAATTAATTATATGATTATACTATAATGTAATATTATAGTGAATTAAGAATCGATAGAGTATTAATGTAATATTATAATTAATTAAATTTTATCATTTAATTAAGTAATGTAATAAATAATAATGTAGTAAATTACTATGTTATAATGTAATGTATAAATTTATAACTAATAAGTAATATAACTATGTAAACTATATTAATAAGTGATTCATATAAGTGAATGTAATAATGTTAAATTTAATTAAGTAAATTTAAACTATAATGTAATAGTTAATTAATTAAATTTCTAATAAATAATTAAATAATCATTTGTTTATAAGGAATGTTAAACAATTAAATAATCATCTAAATATGTTAGTTATAATTAATTATGTAATCATTAATCATATATAAATGAAAAATGAATAAAGAATTAAGTAACTACTAAAATAAATCTTAATATAATATTATAATTAATTGGATAATAGAATATTAATTAAAAAATCATTAATTATAATGTAGTTACAATTAATACGTAATCGTACTATAATTTATAATGTATATTGTAATTAATTAAATTTCTAATCATTTAATTAAGTATTATGCTAAATTGCTAATGTTTATATAGTAAATTAGTAATACTAATATTATAATATAATGTATAATCAATTAAGTAACCATTTAATCATGTAATGCACTAATGCAGTAAGTTATTATTAATTATGTAATCATACTATAATGTAAGTTATAGTGAATTAAGTACATACATAATAATGTAATATATAATAATTAAATTTTAATCATGTAATTAAGTTTGTACTAATGTTATAATGAATGGATAATTGATAAGTATATACTTAAATCTATAATGTAATGCTATATTAATTAAATTTCTAATTATTTAAAAGTAATATCTAAAATGTTATAATATAAGTCAATTAATAAGGTAATCAAATAATGTAATGTTATAATTAATATACTATAAATCAATTAAGTAATGTTATAAAATTATAATTAATTAAATAATCATTTACATATAATATAATGTTATAACTTATAATGATTAAGTAGATATTTAACTGGTAATTAAATTTATCATATTAATTAATTAATTGCTAATTTGCTATAGATATACTTAGAATTAGATAATTGAAGTAAATAACTCATAATATATTAAAATCAATATACTATTTTATTCAAAAATAGTTCTTTTTAACATTAAAAATTTAAAACACTTTAATTGGATCAAATTCCAATTTCACTTAATAATGAAAACTTAATATTAATATATTTATGATATATTAAAGTTTTAATATGGTTGAATTTATATGTAATAAGTATAATTGTATTAGTATATTATTTAATTAGGTATTCTAAAAATTTAATTTTTCTTTTTTAAATATATATGTAAAAATAATAGAAACCCCAATTATTCACAAATATTCATTGCAGTCTAGGTTCCAAAACAGGTTCCAAAATCGGTTCCAAACTGGGTACCCGCTATAGGTTCAAACAGGGTACCCTTTTTAGGTTCTTTTTTCAGGTTCCGATTCAGTTTCCACACACAAGAACCGAAACTGGAACCGGACCTACCCGCACAGTGTCTGTTTGGTTTAGTTTACTACAGATTTCAATTCTACCCGTACCTATGCTCACCCCTAGGCTGACAGACTGGGATAGACTTCTCTCTGATTTTTAAGGTTGATGTTTTTGGAAAATTGTACAGTACAATCGAAGAATGGATTCATATATGGATTCAACATACACATTTGAAGATGGGCCCAACAACGAGCCTACCTCGATACTCTTTTGGGCCTAACTTCATGGCATCCAAGTGTGTACCAGCTCTCCCACCTGAGGTAAGATTTGTCCCTCAATTATATAAAATACATAGTGTAATTGAACCCTAATTATTTTAGTAAAACCCCTATGAGGGTTAAAAAAAAAAAAAAAAAAAAACCCACTAACCATAGCAATTTTCCTTCCCATCCAACACAACCCTATAAAAGAGGTTGCATTGGGTAATGATGAACAGTCTGTTCATAAATTTCCGCTCCTCCTTGCCCTTTGGATGGTTAATCCTCTAATAGATTTCAAAATTATAATGACTGTATATTCATAAATTTATTCTTTATCATTATTCTAAATTTTACTCTAGAAAGTGGGGGCTATTGATAAAATGAGCGTGTTCAAAAGTCATTTTTGAAAAAAATAAATTGATTTTCTCATCTTTAGGGTTTAGGGTTTATCGAGTTTATCATAGGTAGTGCTCAATTTCCGTTATAGATCGCTTGTATGGGCCAAATGAGATCCGAGTTTTATCTTCTCATTGAAGCCCAATAGTTAAGTCTGATAAAAATTGAGATAGATGGCTTGTCGACATATCTATGAGTATCATTTTGTATTATAAAAAGAGTGGAGTATATAAATCCCCACAGAAACTTTTTGTATTCCCTTTTTTAATATTTTGAAAAATTAAATTTGAACTATATTATATTTATTCTCAAGTAATCCTCTCGTAATCTACTAGATTTTTTTTTTAGCATCACTCTTGACTGATTTGTTTTCGGGTGACTAAATTGAAGACATATCTTCCCAATGTATCCCTTTTTCTATTTTCCAGGGTATAGACTATAGTAAATTTGGAGGCAAGGACATAAAGTTGCATAGTTAGACTATATTTTATAGAGCAAAAATTTAATTGGGAGTCATTTTAAAATAAATTCTACTGTGCTTAGAGAAATAATAACTTCTCCAGGATTTGGTCAGTGACTCAGCACAAGAATCCAGAAGACATGCAGGGCAGTTATAATGAGTATTTTCGTTTGTTTGTTATAAATTGAAGCAGATAACACTGGCAGTGTTTTTAGCGAGACCTCACCGATGTTCAAAGATGTAGCACTTCCGAATGAGAGTAGCAGTGAGCAAAGAGAGAACGGATCAATTGATAGAGTTTACATTGTGTGTGACCAAGACAATATAATGAAAGAGATCTGCAGAGGTGGAGATAGAAAAGTATCCAACTGATGAGGAGGAGATGGAATGTTTATCTAGGAAATTAGGACATACATTGGAAGATCGCTCAAGGCATTAACTTGGCAACATTGCTGCTGATATTTCACTGTTATTGATCACAGAATATGAACAGTGGATGAGGTAAGTAATAATACACCTTTGTGATCGCATATTATGGAGATTGTTCTTTCATCCTGGTAAAGACATGAGAGATCATTGAGCCCTTTATATTTTTCCTAGCTTCAATATTGTTCTTCTTGTGCAGCATAGCCATAAAGGTGGTTAAAAAGTCGACGCATTCAGGAAGAATCCTTCTGAGGATTGCATGCACCTTATTTTGGGTGTAGGAGATTCTTTCTGTTGTCGATAACAATATACAGACTTTGATAGGGAGCAACTCAACCGGGAAAAAGAGGCTTATTAATGTACTCTTCTCTCTGTGGCCAGCTGTTGATTCATTAAGCAAGATTTTTTGCTTCAGTCATGCCAAAGATGCCACTACTCTAACAGACAATCAAGTGTCTAATTGAATATCTGTATGTTAAGAACTTTAGGTTGTTCATTTGTAACATGAACGTTATTTGCTATGGAACCATACGTTCCTAATCTGAAGAACACTGAGCTTTATGAGGCCAAGATAGGCTTTCTGAAGTGTGAGAGTAAACGAAATGCAAGAGATAGAGAATAGAACAGAGCAGGATTTTTTATGCTTAACTTAAGATGCCAGTCTTCTGACAGTCAATCAAATGTTTTGTTGTATATGTTGTGATATGGCATTTTTAGGCATTTCAATATTTCTTTAGAAACAAAACACACAGGATGATATTGACGTTAAACTTGTGGGGCCAGTTGAGGTTCCAGAAGTATAAGAGTAAACCAGATGTTAAAAATAGAAAGAGTAGAGGAGGAGGAGAAAAGGGCGAAGATTTTGTGCTAGTTCATGGGCTGTCATGGTGCATGGTGCTGGTACAAGGTGTAACTCTGCTGAAATCAGCAGGTCATAAAGTTACAATGCTGGACATGGCTGCGTCTGGCAAACACCCAAACAGGTTCATGAGCTTCGATCACTTTTGGATTACTTGGAGCCATGGTTGAATTCATGGTTCTCTCCACCCGAAGAGAGGGTAATTCTGGTGGGTCACAGCATAGGTGGTTTTAGCATATCTGTTGCCATGGAAAGGTTCCCTGAGAAGTATCTGTTGCAGTTTCTGTGCTGCTTTTATGCCCAACCCTGATCTCAGTTTAACAACTTTAGTTGAAGAGGTACAAGTATCTCTCTCTCTCTCTCTCTGAAAGCTCACACGCACACACTAGACCTTGTAACTTGGAAGACTTAAGGTGGAGCATGCTTTGCTGCCCATGGTCAGGATCCATGAAAGTGGCATCTTTTATAAACATAGTATCGTTGTGTGATTTTAAGTTTTTCTAAATCAATCTTTTGTGTCTCTTAGTTTTAAGTTTTGTTAGATTTCATAATTAGTTGTTATGACATTTTCTATTTGTTTGTGAGGGTGGCTTACAAAAAACATTAGTTCAAGGTCAGGGATAGAATGTTTTGACATGGGGACGTTTATCTTTAAGATAAGAAAATGAGGCAACAAGTGCGCCCCATGAATTCTAACGAGCATCCAATGAAATGCGAACAAGTTGTCTAAATACTCACCTTACTTTCTGGCATGGACTCTGGTAGTGTAAACTGGGAGGCTTATTAATGGTGTTGAATTCATGAATTGTATTGTCTGTATGTCGGGTTGACTAAAGACAAAAGACGAGCTGTGGTGTACAAATGCCGATGATCCATGACACCCAAGTTCTTAACTTAGTGACTTTTTGTTTTTTTCAATGCTTTAGGTAGATCGTTTTCGAAGCAGAAACAAACAAAGATAAAAATTTTCTCAGTAATGGTTTAATTTGGTGTCCTTTATAATCTCTGATGCTTTCATGTAATCTTTGTGTAATTTTTAGGTAACCTTTTGGATGCTTTTACATGGACGTTTTATGCTATAAGATTCGGGCATAGTGAATAATATTAAAATACATTGTGACAGACTGTTATAGTGTTGTTCAACTTATAAGAGGGGCCTACTTTCGGGCTTTGGCCCGATTTCATCACACTCTCTCTGATTTTTAAGGTGTATACTTTTTGGAAAATTGTACAGTACAATCGAAGAGTGGATTCATATATGGATTCAACATACACATTGATGATGGGCCCAACAACCAGCCTACCTCGTACTCTTTGGGCCTAACTTCATGGCATCCAAGTTGTACCAGCTCTCCCCACCTGAGGTAAGATTTGTCCTTCAATTCATAAAAAATACTAGTGTACTTGAACCCTAATTATTTTAAGTACCCCATATAAGGTTAAAAAAAAAAAAAATCCACACTCCATAGCAAATTTTCCTTCCCCATCCAACACGACCCTTTGGATGGTTAATCCTCTGAATTCAGTCTAGATTTCAAAATTATAATGAATGGATATTCATAAATTTATTCTTTTTATCATTATTCTAAAATTTTACTCTAGAAAGTGGGGGCTATTGATAAAATGAGTGTGTCCAAAAATCATTTTCGAAAAAAAGAAAAAAGGATTTTCTCTTTTTAAGGGGTTAGGGTTTATGGATTTATCATAGGTGGTGCTCAAATGGGATCGAGTTTTATCTCTCACTCGAAGCCTAATAGTTAGGGCTGATATAAAATTGAGCTAGATTGACTTGTTGGACATATCTATGAGTATCCATTTGTTATTCATTATATTTTGTTGTATAAAAAGAGTGGAGTTACTTAAATCCCCACAGAAACTCTTTGTATTCCCTTTTTTAATATTTTGAAAAATTAAATTTTAACTATTATTATAATTTATTCTCAAGTAATCCTTCTCGTAATCCTATTAGAATTATTTTTTAACATCACTCTTAACTGATTTGTTTTCGGGTGACTAAATTGAAGACATATCTTCCCAAATAGTCATCCCTTTCTTTTATTTTCCAGGCTATAGACTATAGTTAAAATTTGGAGGCAATGGACATAAAGTTGCATAGTTAGACTATATATTTTATAGAGCAAAAATTTAATTGGGAGTCATTTTAAAATTAAATTCTACTGTGCTTAGAGAAAATTAATAACTTCTCTAGGATTTGGTCATCCAGAATGACACTTGCAGGGTAGTTATTAAGTTTGTTATAAATTGAAGCAGGATTTAACACTGGCAGTGTTGTTAGCGAGACCTCACCCGATGTTCAAAGATGTAGCACTTCCGAATGAAGTAGTAGCAGTGAGCAAAGAGAGATACGGATCAATTGATAGAGTTTACATTGTGTGTGACCAAGACAATATAATGAAAGAAGATCTGCAGAGGTGGATAATAGAAAAGTATCCAACTGATGAGGAGATGGTGATCTCTGGTTCTGATCATATGCCTATGGTTTCCAAACCCAAGGAGCTGTTCACTTGCCTCCAAGAGATTGCAGATAAATTTACCTAAATTTGTTCTTCATATAGCTGAAACTTGTTCTGCTTTTGCAAATGACCAGAGTCATGTTGGCAAATGTTGAAAATCAGATACATTATATGATTTCTTCCTAATTGGTTAAATGGTTGGTTTATTTGACATATTTGGTCTATATATATAATTTCGACTTATTTAAATGATTAAACATTATTGACCTAGAGGGATGGTTAGGGTAATTTTTATTTTTTCAATTCTTGTTAAAATAAATTATTTAAATTTTAAATATTATGGCTTTGATGGATTGCCGAAAATATATTGATGGGCATTAATCCAACTCAAAAAACAGAACAATAATAGTTCCTGAGAACAAAACTAAAGGAAACTTGAGCAAGGTAAAATCACCAATATACTCAAAACAGATCTCTAATATGCACTCATAAACTTAACAATTCAATGTTCAAGGCAGGGACACCCAAAAACCATGTAAGCTATCAACAAAAATATAAATTCCGAGAAGAAAATACACACAAAGGATGTAGATGCTAGAATTATCTCTGGGTGGTCGAGTAGTTCGATAGGGACTCTTGGGTGTATTACTCATGAGATCTTGATTTCGAGTACCTTTTTTATTGCTAATAGGGATAACCATTGGAGCTCTTACCCGATTAGTAGTTTCAGGATTACCTGATTAGTAGTTTCAGGGTGTCGGGGATTAGTTGAGAAGTATATAAGTTAACCTAAACACCCCCAGTTATCCCAAAAAAAAAAAAAGCTTGTACATTTGCTTAATTTGATTTTCTCAATCGAGTTTACAAGCTTCATATCTTTAGGCAAATGGAAAAGTAAGACAATGGCCTCTCTTTTTCTCGTTAGTCAATGAATATCATTCTTTACGCACAAGACGCCACAATTTCAGCGGCCAATCCAATATATGAACCAAATGCTTAAGGTTGAAAATGAGTGTGACAGATATGGCATCTTTTAGGTTTTCCCACACTTCTTGTTTGATATGTATAATAAGTATATAACATGACATTTGCAACGAACAACCTAAACTGGAAACACGCAACTTTGTAGGGCCAGTTAATGTTTTACTCAATTATAAAACTATGATCGATGCAAGGGACAGAAATTATGAGTTATGGGGAGCAAGGAGAAACATTTTGTGCTAGTTCATGGAGCTTGTCATGGAGCATGGTGTTGGTATAAGGTGTCAACTCTGCTCGAATCATCAGGTCATAAGGTTACGGTTCTGGACATGGCTGCGTCTGGAAAACATCCAAAACAGGTTGATGAGGTAGGATCACTTTGGGATTACTTTGAGCCTTTGATGGAATTCATGGCATCTCTCCCACAAGAGGAGAAGGTGATTCTGGTGGGACATAGCTTTGGCGGTCTTGGCATATCTGCTGCCATGGAAAGGTTCCCTGAGAAAGTCACTGTTGCAGTTTTCTGTACTGCTTTGATGCCCAGCCCTCATCTCAGTATAACAACTTTTTTTGAAGAGGTACGCCAATTCTCTTTTACTCTGTTCCTCACAACCTCACACGAATACACTAGATTATTGATTAAAGCCATTTTTGTGACGGGGCTCAATGTTATTTTTGATACAATAGGGGGATTAGAAAAAGTTTCCCCTTATATAATTACATATGTCAAAGTGTTTATAGGGAAAAAATAATTAACTGTAGGTTTTTAATTTATGTAAAGTGTTTAGGAAGTCTAAAAAAAGGATATATTTATGATTATAAGAAGTTAAATATATATCAGAGTAAATAGAAGCAGCGCTTTAGGTTATTTTTAAGCCTAGTTTCGATCCATTTCACTCTGATTTTGGAAGAGTGTATTGAACTTTGAATGATTTGATTGCGCTGACTGAGATAAAGAGGTTAGAACTGAATAGCATTTTTCTTCTGGTAAACTACTAGTCCTATCCTGTATTTGTCTGGTTTGTTAATTTGCTCCTTCTAACTCTTTATGATTTGAAGTTAATATGAGCAATTGGTGAGTGAGCTCTTTTGAAAAACGATGCAGTATGGTAGAAGAGTGAATTCGTATATGGACTCCCTCTTCACATTTAATGATGGACCCAACAACCAACCAACCTGCATTCTCTTTGGTCCTAACTTCATGGCATCCAACTTATATCACCTCTCTCCACCTCAGGTAACTTTTCTTTCTAATTCACACATTTTACAATTAGTCCTTGATGTAGGACAACATCCGTCTATTTCATCATTTTGATGGGGCTTATTGACATTCAAGTGAAGGTTAATAACATCTCGGTCCTTTGAGCTTATAAGGTGTTCAATGGATCATAGAGATTAGTTGAGATGCATGTAAGCTCGTCTAGACACCTGGTTTACCAGAAAAAAAAAAAATAATAACAACATCCCTCTCTTAGGTTGAACCCCATTTTTATATTGATTTGGGTGCACTGGGCCAGAGTTTTATTTTCTAATTTTTACATTGATTGGCTTGTTTGACATAGCTATGATATTTGCTGGTTCAACTGAATCCTAGTTTGAGTTTTGAGTATGAGTGGACAGTTAGGTAATGTATCTTTGTGTTTGTCTAATGAATTGAAGCAGGATTTAACACTAGCAGTGTTGTTGGCGAGACCTCACCCTATATTTAATGATGTATCATCGAGGAATGAAGCAGCAGCAGTGACCAAAGAGAAATATGGATCAGTCCATCGAGTTTACATTGTGTGCGACCAAGACAAGATATTGACACAAGATATGCAAAGTTGGACCATCGAAAAGTATCCAACGGATGAGGTGAAGGTGATCTCCGGTTCTGATCATATGCCCATGTTCTCCAAGCCCAAAGAATTGTTCTGTTGCCTCCTAGAGATTGCTGATAAATATGACTAAATTTATTTTTATAGTTGAAACTTGTTACGGTTTGCAAACGACCAAGAGTGACTTTTATAGATTTCAAAATTATAATGACTGTATATTCATAAATTTATTCTTTTTATCATTATTCTAAAATTTTACTCTAGAAAGTGGGGGCTATTGATAAAATGAGCGTGTTCAAAAGTCATTTTTGAAAAAAATAAATTGATTTTCTCATCTTTAGGGTTTAGGGTTTATCGGATTTATCATAGGTAGTGCTCAATTTCCGTTATAGATCTGCTTGTTATGGGCCAAATGAGATCCGAGTTTTATCTTCTCACTTGAAGCCCAATAGTTAAGTCTGATATAAAATTGAGATAGATTGGCTTGTTCGACATATCTATGAGTATCATTTTGTTATATAAAAAGAGTGGAGTTATATAAATCCCCACAGAAACTTTTTGTATTCCCTTTTTTTAATATTTTGAAAAATTAAATTTGAACTATATTATAATTTATTCTCAAGTAATCCTTCTCGTAATCTTACTAGAATTTTTTTTTTTAGCATCACTCTTGACTGATTTGTTTTCGGGTGACTAAATTGAAGACATATCTTCCCAAATAGTCATCCCTTTCTTCTATTTTCCAGGGTATAGACTATAGTTAAAATTTGGAGGCAATGGACATAAAGTTGCATAGTTAGACTATATTTTATAGAGCAAAAATTTAATTGGGAGTCATTTTAAAATTAAATTCTACTGTGCTTAGAGAAAATTAATAACTTCTCCAGGATTTGGTCAGTGACTCAGCACAAGAATCCAGAATGACACTTGCAGGGCAGTTACTAATGAGTATTTTCGTTTGTTTGTTATAAATTGAAGCAGGATTTAACACTGGCAGTGTTGTTAGCGAGACCTCACCCGATGTTCAAAGATGTAGCACTTCCGAATGAAGTAGTAGCAGTGAGCAAAGAGAGATACGGATCAATTGATAGAGTTTACATTGTGTGTGACCAAGACAATATAATGAAAGAAGATCTGCAGAGGTGGATGATAGAAAAGTATCCAACTGATGAGGAGATGGTGATCTCTGGTTCTGATCATATGCCTATGGTTTCCAAACCCAAGGAGCTGTTCACTTGCCTCCAAGAGATTGCAGATAAATTTACCTAAATTTGTTCTTCATATAGCTGAAACTTGTTCTCTTTTGCAAACGACCAGAGTCATGTTGGCAAATGTTGAAAAGCAGATACATTATATGATTTCTTCCTAGTTGGCTAAATGGTTGGTTTATTTGACATAAATTTCGACTTATTTAAATGATTAAACATTGTTGACCTAGAGGGATGGTTAGGGTAATTTTTATTTTTTCAATTCTTGTTAAAATAAATTATTTAAATTTTAACTATTATGGCTTTGATGGATTGCTGAAAATATATTGATGGGCATTAATCCAACTCAAAAAACAGAGCAATAATAGTTCCTGAGAAAAAAACTAAAGGAAACTTGAGCAAGGTAAAATCACCAATATACTCAAAACAGATCTCTAATGTGCACTTATAAACTTAACAATTCAATGTTCAAGGCAGGGACACCCAAAAACCATGTAAGCTATCAACAGAAATATAAATTCCGAGAAGAGAATACACGTGAAAGATGTAGATGCTAGAACTATCTCTGAGTGGTCAAGTAGTTCCCTATCACTTTGGTTACTGATAGGAATAACCACTAGAACTTTTACCCAATAAGTAGTTTTAGGGTCTTGGAGGATTAGTTGGGAAGTATATAAGTTAACCCAAACACCCCAGTTATTCCAAAAAAAAAAAAAAAAAAAAAAAAGCAGCTTGTACAATTGCTTAATTTGATTTTCTCAATCGAGTTCACAAGCTTCGTATCTTTAATTGGGCAAATGGAAAAGTAAGACAATGGCCTCTCTTTTTCGCGTTAGTAAATGAATATCATTCTTTACGCACACGACGCCACAATTTCAGCGGCCAATCCAATATATGAACCAAATGCTTAAGGTTGAAAATGAGTGTGAGAGATATGACATCCACGTCTTGTTTGATATGTATAACAAGTATATAACATGACATTTGCAACGTACAACCTAAACTGGAAACACGTAACTTTGTAGGGCCAGTTAATGTTTTACTCAATTATAAAACTATGATCGATGCAAGGGACAGAAATTATGAGTTATGGGGAACAAGGAGAAACATTTTGTGCTAGTTCATGGAGCTGGTCATGGAGCATGGTGTTGGTATAAGGTGTCAACTCTGCTCGAATCATCAGGTCATAAGGTTACGGTTCTGGACATGGCTGCGTCTGGAAAACATCCAAAACAGGTTGATGAAGTAGGATCACTTTGGAATTACTTTGAGCCTTTGATGGAATTCATGGCATCTCTCCCACAAGAGGAGAGGGTGATTCTGGTGGGACATAGCTTTGGCGGTCTTGGCATATCTGCTGCCACGGAAAGGTTCCCTGAGAAAGTCACTGTTGCAGTTTTCTGTACTGCTTTGATGCCCAGCCCTCATCTCAGTATAACAACTTTTTTTGAAGAGGTACGCCAATTCTCTCTTACTCTGTTCCTCGCAACCTCACACGAACACACTAGATTATTGATTAAAGCCATTTTTGTGACGGGGCTCAATGCTATTTTTGATGCAATAGGGGATTTAGATAAAATTTCCCCTTATATAATTACATGTGTCAAAGTGTTTATAAGGAAAAAATAATTAATTGTAGGTTTTTAATTTATGTAAAGTGTTTAGGAAGTCTAAAAAAAGGATATATTTATGATTATAAGAAGTTAAATATCTATCAGAGTAAATAGAAGCAGCGTTTTAGGTTATTTTTAAGCCTAGTTTCGATCCATTTTACTCTGATTTTGGAAGAGTGTATTGAACTTTGAATGATTTGATTGCGCTGACTGAGATAAAGAGGTTAGAACTGAATAGCATTTTTCTTCTGGTAAGCGACTAATCCTTTCCTGTATTTGTCTGATTTGTTAATTTGCTCCTTATAACTCTTTATGATTTGAAGTTAATATGAGCAATTGGTGAAGTTGATCTCCGGTTCTGACCATATGCCTATGTTCTCCAGGCCCAAAGAATTGTTCTGTTGCCTCCTAGAGATTGCTGATAAATATGACTAAATTTATTTTTATAGTTGAAACTTGTTACGGTTTGCAAACGACCAAGAGTGACTTTGGTGTAAACGTTAAATAATTGCTAGAAATGAAGAAAATCAAAAGTTGAAACATATTTAACTAGATTATTTAAATTGGTTTGTTGTTGGTGAAGTGGTTTGCTCGATTTTCTTAATCAAAGTGAGCGGCGTTTGACTATACTATTTTATTGAAAATGGGTGAGATATCACGTCTTAACACTAAATTAAACTTTGTGATGCCAATATAAAGATATTTCCCAAGTATAAGAGTAAACCAGATGGAAGAGATAGAAATAGTAGCAGAGATGGAGAAGAAAGAGAAGCATTTTGTGTTGGTTCATGGAGCTTGTCATGGAGCATGGTGTTGTTACAAGGTGGTAACTCTGCTCAAGTCATCAGGTCATAAAGTTACAACTTTAGACCTGGCTGCGTGTGGCACACATCCAAACCAATATCACCAGGTACCTTCAGCTGCTAATTATATTGAGCCTTTGATGGAATTCATGGCATCTCTCCCACCAGAAGAGAGGGTCGTTCTGGTGGGACACAGCTTGGGTGGTCTTAGTATATCTGTTGCCATGGAAAGGTTCCCTCAGAAAGTCTCCGTTGCAGTTTTTTGTACTGCTTTTATGCCAAGCCCTGATCTCAGTTTAACAACTTTGTTTGAAGAGGTAAACAATCTTTTTCTTTTTCTAACAAAATAACACGTACACAATAGACTTGGATGTGCTCAAGCTCAAGAACCATCAACTGTGGTTTTTTTTTTTTTTTTTTTTTCTTTGCTATTGCTCTCAGAAAAAAAACTTTGCACATTTTTCATTTAAAAGATTTTTTGCAGTTGACTTTTAATTATTATAAATTTGACTCTTTTTTTATTTCATATTATGGTTGTGAGAGTCAAGGATTAGTTCAATGTTAGGGGTAGAAGCTCTCATACATAGGGCTTTACATCTTTAAGAGAAGTAACTGTAGCAAAAGCGACCAACCATGAAATGGCCCATGAATTTTAAAGAGCAAATCCTTCCATCATTTTGTGATCTTTATAAATATGTAATTAGATTATTTTCTGTGTATGGTGTTTGTTGTCATAGGTTTTTACTGTAGAGGATCGTGCCGTATTATATGGTGGATCTTGTGAAGAACGACTATGATAAAAGTTCATTTAACTTATTTGACCATTTTCTTTTTGAATGGTTTTTAAAGAACAAAAAATCAAATATTTTACAATTCATTTAATTCGAGATCCATATAATTGGTGACTTTTTGTGATCTGTAATATAAACCAGTTTTAATTGTATCAGAGGCTCCATGAATGTACTTAAGTCCATATAATATTGATTGACTTGAACTTGGACTTGGACTTGGACTTGACTGTAACTCAGATTTTGAGATCAATTTTTAGTTGAAGGGAAAACTGTATGTACTACTTAAGAGTAAGGCTAGCAGGGTTAATGAGTACAGTTTAGCTGATAAGATAAAAAAATCAAATCATTTGTATCATAAATAGATTAGTTTGAGATGAGATAATTTTGTGGTATTCTGTGGCATTTTTATATTTTACACTGATTTAAACACTGTACTTCTAAAATCACACAGTACACTGGAAGAGTAGATTCCTATGTGGACTCGGTATACACGTTCGATGCTGGGACAGACAATCACCCTACCTCCATACTTTGTGGGCCTAACTTCATGGCATCCAAGTTGTATCAGCTCTCCCCACCTCAGGTAACATTTCAGAAACGATCAGACCAGGCTTAAAGGTTATTCCCAGCCCATTTTCCTGATAATTTGAAACTGAAATCCAACCCTGCCATTACTGGGATGCAGGTTAAATATAACTTTTGGCCATGCGGCTGCCCATGAGGGGTTTGGAATCTCAGACATTGTGGGAGCAAACCACAAGTTTGACCATCCAGTTAAAACCTCATGGGTGATCTGGATGCCCTTGTTTGACCTTTTTTTTTTTTTTTTTTTTAAATTATGAGAATCTCAAATTGTTTATTTCTACAATGTAAAATTGTGAAGTAGTGTAACTAATGTATTTCTGTGTTTGTGATAATTAAATTGAAGCAGGATTTAACACTTGCAGTGTCATTAGTGCGACCTCACCCCATGTTAACTGCTGTAGAATGGAATAAAGTGGCAGCAGTGACCAAAGAGAAATATGGATCAGTCGATAGTGTTTACATTGTGTGCGACCAAGACAATATTTTAAAACAAGATTTGCAAAGATGGATGATACAAAAGTATCCAACCAAGTAGGTGAAGCTCATCTCTGGTTCTGATCACATGCTCATGTTTTCAAAACCCAAGGAGTTGTGTTGTTGTCTCCAAGAGATTATAGATAAATACACCTAAATCTGTTCTTATGCCTGAAACTTGTTACCGCTTTTGCAGATATTACAAACTTATTGACCTACATTACTTGATTGCTTCATTGTTGGTTAAGTGGTTCCTTTGATACAGGGACAAACCTAAGAACTAATATAATATAAAGCAAAGGAAAAGCAAACGAAGGAGTCAAATCTAGAAACATTAATACAAATCCTAAGGGATTCAAGCAAAATATCAAACTAAATTAATGAAAAACAAATTTTGAGTGGGGTCACCAGTCCCCACTCATCATAACATGGTTATGTATCAACTTATGTAATTTATTTTATAACTTATTACACTTTTCGTTTATATAACAACATTTGAATCAAACAGAAAAAAACCAAAACAATATATATATATATATATATATTATATATATATATATATATATATATATATATATATATAAAGAATTAGAGTAATTATTAATGTAGAAAATGTTATGAAAATAAGAGAATGTCATGAAGATTTAGAGAATTTTTTTTAAGAAATCCTTTCTTAATTCCTGTTTGGTTCTCTTTTCTATATTCTAAATGGGTTTTTATAGTTGATTTTTTTTTTTTTTAAATGTTTTTATCTTCTTTATTAGTATATTAGATGCGGTTTTATTTCTTTTATTTTATGCAGCTCCTTCAATGTTTTACTCGAACTTATATAAATAAAACAGGAACGGGATGGAAGGTAAAAAAATAATAGTAGGAGATGGAGAAACAATTTGTTCTGGTTCATGGAGCCTGACATGGGGCATGGTGTTGGTACAAGGTTCTAACTCTGCAAAAATCATCAGGTCATAAAGTTAAAGCTTTAGACCTGGCAGCCAGTGGCACACACCCAAAGCAATTTCAGGAGCTTTGTTCTTTTTCAGATTACTTTGAGCCATTGATGGATTCATGACATCTCTAGCAGAAGAGGAAAGGGTGATTCTGGTAGGGCATAGCATGGGTATTGTTGATGCTTGATTTTGATACTAACGACTCACACGTGTAAAATGTTAAACGGGTTTGGAAGTTATACGTGATATGGAAATATGTAGCAAGAGAGGAAATAAAAGACGGTTTTTAAAGTGGTTCGGATGATCAAAAGCGATTCCTACGTCCACTGTAATTGTATTAATAGATGGTTACAGTCAGGTCGCATGTAATGAACTAAGTTACAATTTAGAGAGAAAATAGAGAGAGAGAGAGAGAGAGTATGTTGTTTAAGACTAAAAATAAGTCAATCCCGTAAATGAGAGAGGAACCCTCTATCTATAGTGGGATGATTCAAGGTAATAATTATGAGTCTGCAGTCCGGTAGGTGGGGTATAATTCCTAACCCGCTTCCCATTGATTGCATGTTTGCATGAGAGATATTCTTAAATTGCATAGGGCTTGGGTAGGTGAACGATTTCTAGCCACTCGCAAGCTTGACATTCACTTGCTGCATTGATGAGAATCATACCTCTTCCATCATTTTCGTCGTTGCATGATGTGATAACGTTTAGACGGCACAAAACCTTTGAATTATGATTGACTCTTACTGACAAGAGTCCATATCAGTCCTGACTTTTTAGACATGACAGGTATATTCAGCATAGCTGCTGCCATGGAAAGGTTCCCTCACAAAGTCTCTGTTTTATGCCTAACCTAAGTCTTACAACTCTAACTCAAGAGGTACTTCTACCTATTCATCTCTTTTATTATCACAACACCATCACACATCCTATCAAGCTTATTGTCCGTGAACACTATAGATTCCATTTCTTATATATTCAAACGTTAGCAGCTAAGTGTCTAATATAATACACTGTGCTGCAAAGTTTAATTATATAGACATACCTTAACTCACTATATCAATATTATATAATTTATCATTTATAGTATAAAAATAATTTACATTGAGATAATAATCATAATGAAGAAAAAATTCGAGGGGACTTGAAAATGTATATTATATTTAATAAATCTAAAGATTAGATGTTTTGTTCTTGTATTATTGGGAAGAAGAGTGCAGTCGCAGCTTGTGGGCTTGACAAACAGCCGGAATTTTTGTTTTTTAGGATAAGACAAACAGCCGACATCTTTCCTCTTTGGGCCTAACTTCATGTCATCGAAGTTCTACCAGCTGTCCCCAACTCGGGCAAGCCTCTTTTGTTCACTTCTTCAAATTCTGCCGTTGGAAAAAAATCATACTAACTGGGTCCACTCTGGTTAAGCTAAGCTTTGAATAGTTTTTTTTTTTTTTTTTTTTTTTTTTTTTAAACTTTTTATAATAATCAGGATATTTTGGTCGTTTACGCACAACTCATTAATCTCTGAGATTTATTGAATATTTTATAAGTATAAACCTAAAGAAACAGGTAACTACAATTTATTGTGATAGGTGACTCAAGATTTTAACTAAGAACTCAACGAATAGAACAAACCTTCTTAATCGTTAGACCAATCTCTTGGGTTTAAGATTTGATAGTTTATCCAATATGATAAGCGCCAATCTTTTGGAGTTAATTTTTGAATAGTTTGTCTAATATGATTAAGCTCTGCCAATTCTATAAATCAACCGAAATCATGAATGGATGTTGTGAGTAAAGTTAGAGGCCATTGTTTATAATATATAACCCTTTTTTAATATATTTTATCATATAAAAATTTATTTCGAAAACCTTCTTTTTAAGGTCCTACATTAAATTTCACATAACCCTATCAAAGCATTCTGTTTCCTTCAATCCCATCTCTTTTAATAAAAATCATTCACTTATTTGGCAAGAAGAATTGGTTTGTCTTATTGCCAGAAGACAATCTTACCGGTTAGCAGCAAATTTTGTAACTTGAAAACAGTGGAAGTACCTTTTCTACCTGTGACAACTTAATTTGTCGAGTCAAGCATAATTATGCAAAAGACTGCCGGCGCTGAGAACGAAGATTATTGTTGAATTTTAGATATTCGACATTATTGGTAGTTCTTCTACGTCTCATATAACGGTGGAGATATGAATTTGCAGGAGATTTGAAAAGGGTTTTATTGTAGTAAAAAAATTATGTGCATGCTCAACCACTGTATTAAGCGAATGGGCAGTCTCCAGCCGCCTACTTATCTGTTTTGTTTTAATCTACAAGTTAAAAAATTTATTAGAGACTTTGGTTTACTGCATAAATAGCATAATATCATCACACACTGAAACCCCTAGTTGAAACGATATTCCACCACAAATTCCCCAGCCATTGTCACCAGAGTCGGTAACCTTTACCACAATCATGGAGATGTTCCCGTGACCCATGTCAAGCATGTTTATTTCGCTATCTCTAAGAGACAGTGAGTGAGTTCTTGGGGTTGGAAAACATCGCCATATGATCTGCACCCTTAATCTCCATCACCTCTTTGACAGGATAGTTTTCGATCATCCAGTGCTGGAACTCCTTTAGGATCCCCATATCCTCCTCGCATACTATATATACTCGCGCAATTGATCCATACCCCTCGCTCGAGAAGTTTTTGGACTTTGCCAAGTCGTCTACAAATAGTGATCCTGGCCTAATTAACGTCTTCGCTAGCTCCAGATCCTTCAAAATATATTTTTAATTATATAATACAATTCAGGCATAATTTAATTGTCATCGATATTTTATTGTAAGGTTGAGGAGGGAGAGAGAGAGAGAGAGAGAGAGAGAGAGAGAGAGAGAGAGAGATGGCTAACCTCAACAGGGCTCAACTGATAGAGCTTGAATTTCAAGAACTCGCGGCCGAAGAACATTGACAGGAGAGATGGTTTTGTGTGAAAGGGGGAAAATTGAGTGTCCATCCAAGTTTCTGCTGGTGTTCTCTCGACAAACTTTTCAAAATATAAAAAGATAATAAGACTTCCGATCATAGATATGTACACAGAAATGAGATTTAGGAGCTAATCTTTTTAAAGCATAAACATGTGGAGCTAATTCATTGAAGTAGTTGAGAACGTACCTGGTCCAAGATATAAGATGGATTGTGGTTGGTGTCTGGCATGAAAGCTGTTAAGAAAACAGCGACAGAAATCTTTGCTGGGAATTTGTCCATTGCTAAAGCCAAATTCAAGCCTCCTAGGCTGTGACCAACAAGTATGATCTTTTCACCAGGTGGAAGAGAGGCCAAAATCTCCAACAAAGGCTCAGTGTAGTCATAAAATGAAAGAACTTCATGGATGGACTTCATGTTGATGCCAGAGGCAGCAAGGTCAAGCGCCGTGACCCGGTGACCAGCAGCCTCCAACCGTGGTTTGACTCTGTACCAGCTCCAAGCTCCGTGGTTTGCCCCATGCACTAGAACAAAATGTTTTTGTTTCACCGTCTCAGCCATTTTCTTTCTTTGCAGTGTTTCAGTAGTGTTCTGTGATTGATTTATAAAATTATGTGAGATGTTATATGGGCAACAAGATCAATTTACAGCTTGTGATAGGGTCCTACTCCTACCTCTAATAATGCAAGTAGAGTAAACGACATATTTCCACCCAAGGTTTGACGGAATTCTAAGTTGGTATCCCAAGTTTCATTTATTCCAGATTCCCACTCTTAAAATAACAATGTTAACAATTTTTAGGATAGTGAGAATGTAATTACCATAATACCCTTAACCCTAAATTAATAAATTATGTTTTAACCCCTAAATTACTAAAATTATAAATTAACCATCTTATTATGAAATTACTTCAATTACACCCTCAGTGACTGCGCACAGTCTCGGTTTTCACTGGATCTGGGCTGTTTTCGATGGCGGCGAACCCCCTGCTCACCTCCATCACCTTCTCCATCATCCGTTGTCCAAAACCCCTCTGGTTCCCAACTCATTGGGCCCTCCAATCGCCAGTGTCGTCAGGCTTTTGTCGTTCTTCGCTGGATTCCGATCGATTTCGGCCACGAAAATTCAATTGGACATTA